CCCAAAACCACGCCAAGTCAGCAGTCACATGCAACACCAGCAGCACAAACTCAAATTTTGGTTAAATTTAAATCTGTTAAATTATATTACTGTACTTAAAAAAAAAATGAAAAATTCCTTCAATTTGTTATTTCCATTTATAGCATGATAATCGTTTTAATCACGAGGGGGGAAACAATGAATCATATGCTGAAAAATTAATTATAATTATGATATGTTTATATGGTTGTATGCTTACAAAATCTAATACTGTGGCTGCATTATCACCCACCAGTAAATGAGGAAAATAGCCCTGCATTCCCTCGCTTAGATTATCAAGATTGTAACTTGCTTAGCTAAATGAATTGTGGGGTTCAGTCCCTGAGCCCATTATGTGCCTCTGTAACCCTTTCACTACCACCCACACATGGTGGGTATGGGATGCACAATAAATGAACTAAATACAAAAATTCCCTCTGATAAGTTAAAGATCATTTGACTTGCAAAACATTTTCTATTCCACTAAAGGGCTAAAGAATTGCATATTTGAACCCCAGATTCCCAGAAATCAGACGTGTATAGCTAGTAAATGAGAAGAAATAATGAGGAATGAATAGTTAGATGTATTGCGTGATAGTCCAGCCAAGGGTAGTCCAATGCAATAGTCCAGCCAAGGGTAGTCCAATGCAATAGTCCAGCCAAGGGTAGTCCAATGCAATTGTCCAGCCAAGAGTTGTTATGCTATGCGTGTTAGTGGCTTTGCAAGAATGTAAAAATACCAATCTTATGTAATCTTACATGCCCATTGTACCTTCTTGTAAATAATTATTATTAATTATTAGCAATAGGATATAAAGAGCAACAGAAGGAACTAGGATGATGCTTTGCTAACAGGGGAGAACTTAGGGTGACATCGCAACAGGGGGGAACCCAGGGAGACACAGCAACAGGGGAGAACTAGGGTGGCACTGCAACAGGATGAAATAGGGTGGCACTGCAACAGGGGTGAACTAGGGTGGCACTGCAACAGGGTGAACTAGGATGACACAAAATTGCACAATACAAGGTGCAGGAGACGTGTGTAAACTACACACTGAAGTAGTGTGACCTAAAAGCATAACTTTATTTCAGAGTAAATACAATAAATGAGTAAAAGATGACATTACAAGCTGGAGTTTTCCCACTTTATACCACAAATTGGTTATCACAGACAAGTCCTCCCCTTCCCCCCTGAACACGAAGATATCGAGGAAAACTTGAAACAATTGGTGAAAGTTAAAAAAAAAAAATAATAATAAAACAGCCGAGCTAGAGAAGTGTAAAGAAATAATTTTATGTAGGGGAGAGGAGAAAGGTATTAAAAGTCATGATATTAGTATTAGAAAAGTATTAAAAAGGTACTAAAAGTAGATCTTGTTTCCCCAAAGCGAGAGAATTAGGTAAGTTCATCCAGGGAAGTTACTTCACCACTTTTCCTCCCCAGTGTTGGATTATACCCGATAGGAAATCATAATAGTACTGTATATGAAGTAAAGAGAAGCAGAGGAGCATAGATGAAGGTAAACTAACTAGGTAATGTACTTGATACATTGAGCAGAAAGGTTATTTTATAATTTGAAATTGCTTCATGAAGGTTTCCAAAATAAAACAATGAATGATTAAACATGCAAATTAAACAAAATGATGACATGCATATTGACTATTAGATTAGCCAACTGTTGTAAAAAGAGAAACTGGAAACTATGCTCATATGAAATAAATTGAATGAAAATTAAAGCACAGTTAAGAGATGAATCCGACTGAAAAAATGAAACAGATCGAGAAGTGCTTGAATAGAATTTTTAAGGTGAAATAGCAATGTGATGAACTTTAGTCTCTTAATAAATGATGGAGATAAATGAGCTTATATCAGAGTTTTCTACTGCTCAGCAGGGCAGCAGCTTCAACACAGTCAATAGGAAATGGAAAATGATTATTAAGATAAAATATGAAAACAGTATGTATAGAAAACGAAGTGAGAGATGAATATGAGGCCCATAAAAGGCAAGAGAGATTTTTCACAATTTTAGCAATATTTAAGACTGGCTCGTGTCATTTTAGTTTTTAAAATATCGTATAAATTTAATTTTCGTTGCTATCTTGATACTATTTGTACACTATATGCAGTTCCACATATTAAGCTAAAACGTTGTATTAGAGTTTCCTATTAAATTTTATACCTGTATAATACTGTGATCTAAAATGAACAAAAGTAATTTGACCATCTCTGTTCTATATGTAGCTCTTATAGAATATAGTTTATAAAACATTCCAGTGCCCATCAAAATTATAAAATACAAATAAATTCTTTAGATTTACAAAGTAAATTCCCGTTGTTTATACAACAAAAATATACTATGATATTAATTTCAATGAACCTTAACACATTTACCAACAATGCTCAGGCATAATTCTAGCTATATTTAAATCAACTGTAAACTTATTAACAAATTACTGGTTTAAGCAGATTAAAAGGAAAGCAATGTTGCCATTATCTCTGAGGCGAGACTGACAAAGGCAAACTTCTTTCTTCTAATATTTTCTGTGTGTGAATCACGGCTATAAATTTAGATGTCTTCAATGATGTTCTTAAGCAGTAAAAACAACCCGAGTGTCTGCACTACTACATAAATCACCTTTACTTTCAAAAAGCTAATAATGTGGCCACGGAATAGTAAGTTAAGATGCATATACCTGTATACATGACTGAAAGCAGATGGACAGAACACACTGAAGAGAATTTTAAGAAAGAAGGGAGATGATAATCACACTGAAGAGAAAGGAAGGAAGGTTCATGTGCCCTGAATTGCTTTACACTGAGGTCATTAATTAAAATAACTATGCCTGGAATTATACAAGGCATTCTATTCAGCACTTTAGCACTGACGGCTGAGTGGTCAGCGCTCGAGGTCTGTAGTCCTAAGGGTCCGGGTTTGATCCCCGATGGAGGCGGAAACAAATGGGCAGTTTCTTTCACACTGATGCTCCTGTTCACCTAGGAGCATCAAATATACAAAATATTTTGTTCAAATATACAAAAAACACGTGAATGTGTACAATTAAGTGAATACTATTTGCTGTTTTTACGTCACACATAAAACTCATTATGTTCTGGCTTTCATTTGCCAAGTTTACTTCAAGTTTGTTGCTGGTGTCTGTAGAAACCACTCTGGTGTGATGCCGGAGTTTATAACTCTTCAGAAATATTTTATCACTCCTCTGGGTTTGTTTTCTAGTTGAAGATCTGTATTTTGCCGTTTATGCTGTCGGTGGTCCAGTAAGACCATTATCCATTTTTCATTTCAATTTATTCGTACAGTTCTTTAGTTATGCCTCCTAATTTCCTTCTATCTTCCATAGCAGAACAGGTTAACATTTTTGTCAGCCTATACAGATCATATCTTTCAACTTCAGCACCAATTATAGTCTAATTTAGTAGTCTCATGCTAATGTAGTCTATACTACCATGATGTGTCTTTAGGATAAACAGTGATATGCCTGCCCCATCCCCCTACTCGGGTGACAATCATTCTCCCTCTCATACTCCAGCCTTTCAGTCAATTCAGTGAATATCAGGATTACTTCCCCCTAGTTGCCCGAAACGCTATGCGTATTAGTGGCTTTAGGTATTGTATGTACTAGAATTATAAAAAAAATAAACAGTGATAAAGTCTATGGACTCGGCGCATAGTATTTCACTTCACAGACGTTGTGAAGGCGGGGCATTGGGGTTGTGCCCCCCCCCCCTCCTCAGGGAGGCACTGGGACACCACTAACCCTTTATGACACTTCCGAATAAAAATCATTAATCCTGCAAAGTGTAATGAGGCTGTAATGACTGGTATATTAAGTCTAGCTCTCGTTACCATTAATTTAAATGAATTCTCTCATTAGCGGCTCTTACGCCTTTACAAGGCTAGCCCCAAGCATCAAGCTCTAAGCTTCAGACAGACATTTGTACAGATACAGATGACAAGCGCCAGTGGCCACCGCAGCAGTTACATGGTACACCTTCACTTGGTGTTATAAGAGGCTCTTGGCAACTTATTCTTAATCCTAGATGTGGAAAAGGTGGGGAAGCAGCAGAGGGAAGGGGGGAAAAGTAGGGGAGGGGAAGTGTAGTAGACGGAGGGGGGGGGAAGTGTAGTAGACGGAGGGGGGGGGGGAAGTGTAGTAGACGGAGGGGGGGGGGGAAGTGTAGTAGACGGAGGGGGGGGGGGAAGTGTGAGAGACGGACGGGGGGGGGGGAAGTGTGAGTGACGGACGTGGGGGTGAAGTGTAGGAGACGGGGGGGGGAAGTGTAGGAGACGGGGGGGGAAGTGTAGGAGACGGAGGGGGGGAAAAGTAGGGGAAGTGTAGGAGACGGAGGGGGGAAAAGTAGGGGAAGTGTAGAGAAGGGAGGGGGAAAGTGGAGGTGGTATCTTGGAGGGGAGTAGGAGCGGAGAAGGAAGAAAGGGGAGGGAGAATGGAGGAGCTAGAAAAAAGGGGGTAGTGGAGGGAGGAGAAGATGGGGAAATGGAAGAGACACAGGGGAAATGAGGGAGAGGAAAACATGCATGGAGGGGAAAGTAGAAGTGGAAATGGCTGAACACGGTCAGGAGGGAGAGGCGAGGAGCACAGGAGGAATGGGAGTGGAGAAAGAGGAAGGCGACTCGTCTGAACAAAACAATCATATAGCGGAACTGATTGTATTAAACGGCGGTCGGACGGCGAGTATTATACACAGTGTTTACGTGTGAAAATGTATGTAATACAACATTAATCCATTAACAAGCCATGTCGTAAAATGTTGAATATTTTAAGCAATGCCTATTTTATATAATTGTGTATATCGAGCATTGTTGGTAAAATAACTCATATTCCTAACTTGTAAAGTATTTTGTAAAGCATTTAGCCACATAAGCCTGAAGTAGCCTAAATATGGTTGCGAGTGTGTCAGACCGACAACTTGCTGGCACAACACGAGACTTAAAGACGCTCACCTCTCCTGAAGCCACAGCATCTCCCGGCACAAAGAGCTCCGGATACACGTTCTCCAAATACCACTTGAAAGACTTGCACCCAAGACCCTCTCGTAGCTTCTTCCGTTCACTCACGTCACCGAAGTCGCCCTGGAAGAAATATAATAATTAAATATAAATTTACTTAGGATTAGCCGTATATATTATATTATATTATATTATATTATATTAATATATATATATATATATATATATATATATATATATATATATATATATATAAAATTGACAAGCCTGACTCCCATCGAGGTTACGCAACCAAGTGGGCACAATATCCAATAGCAACGTCATATTAACGTCGAACCAACGACATTCTTGGATATTGTGTCCACGGGAAAGAGATGATATTTTCTCGGGTGAATGAGCCTTAGTAACAGATGCGTAGGCAAGAACAATGTAGGCCAATTATTATAATAATTTGATTCGTCAAATATTCATAACCGTTGCCGCAGAAAGTGATTTGCAAACAGAAGATGGAACAACAATATAACTGAAAATGAGCAGAGTTGATTTTCGATCGAACGTGAAGAGGACAAAGGGAAAATTAGAGATTATATGAACACATTAAAGAAAAGGCTCCTGGAATGTATGGAATAACTGGATGCATTGTGGCGTTGGGGGTGAGGTGACTGGACAACATTAAGAATATGACGGATGGCGTAGGCAGTGGTGTCTATATTTAAGGGCGAATGTTTTATGGGAAGGAATTCTCTCGCCACGATTGACAACACCTTGCTCTCTTGTAAGTGTTGTGGATATCTGCGAGATCTCACAGACCCGCTCCTGTGCCAGGTAAGTCCACAACGGACTCACCATAGCCCGTGCTACTTGCAACTTTTTGTTTCCGAATAGCTGAATTTTTAACATCATCATCTATGGGAAAGCGAGATAACATTTAGCTAAGTATTCTAGGTAAAGTGAGTATAAGGGAGCACAGCGAGAAAGCAACTAAGAGAAACTAGGATATACGAGAGATTCGAAGCAATGAGAGAGGTTGCATAAATCTGAGTTTTACGGGGACAATGGTTTATTGAACCATCGCAAAGGGGAGAATTTGCATGCACTGCTCAAAAATGTACAAGTGTATTCATACATTTCTTCATTGTTGATAAAATAGAAAAATGGGCAATTTCCCCCCAAATGGGCAATTCCCCCTCCCCACCCCCTCCCCCCAAAAATAGGCACTTCCAAAAGAAAAACAAATAGAATAACTCCCAAGAAAATAAAGTTTACCAAATCATATCCAATTCGCTCGTAGTAATACTTCTTGTATTCATCCAGCCAGACTTCCGCCAAGCGAATGGAGTTTCTTTTCAAGACGTTGACGCCCGAGCGCCACTTGTACGGCGACCTCTTCCTGAAGATGTGACCCACGTGAGAGCACGGCACGATCTCCAGCGTCCCTCCGCACATCCACGTCTGCCAACCACACAAGTCTTCATTAATTTTATATTACATACATGTCAAATCTAATAGCCACAGAACACACTACTTGGACTAGTATGCAAGGCCCGATTTGCGTAACAGGCAGAGTGATTTTCATTATTTTCACAAGTTTCTTTTTAAATTGATTTATTTGAATTAATATTAAGAACTTGAATTACTGACTGACTTAAGTTAGGTTTGATCAAATATGTTAAAACTAACAAATTTGACCAAACCTGACCAAACCTACCTAATCCAACCTAACATAACTAAATCAGCAATGCATGTTAATATAATAACTGGATTAAACCGTAGCAACCATATTACGAGTAATATACATGCTCCAAATTAGATGTGCCTGTTAATTCCACACAAACACTCCCTATAGAATTCCACATTCCAAGAAGTTCTTCACTAATGCTAGGTGCACTAATTACAACTAACACCTCCCGAAGAGTACAGCCATCATTCAGGACTGCCAATGGGGTTACCTGCAAGATGGTCAAGTTACAAACAAGTGTAAGTTACAAACAAATAATTTGGAGAGAAATGTGAAAATAACGAAAATCACTGCCTCTTGGGCAAATCGAACATTGCCTACTAGGCCAAGTAATGCATTTCTGGCTATTAGGTATGACAGGTGTGTGTGTGTGTGTGTGTGTGTGTGTGTGTGTGTGTGTGTGTGTGTGTGTGTGTGTGTGTGTGTGTGTGTGTGTTTGAAAGTACATTTCACATTTCCTAGACGCACGAAAATAAAAGCCTACTCACCTTAAATGACAGCTCCAGATTTTCTCCTCCCCAGATGTCGAAGCCGGAGTCGTATGTTCCCAATCTTTCAAAGAAAGCTTTGTTGATGGAGAAGAGGCCCCCAGCCATGGTGGGGGAGCGCACTGGCTCCGCTGGGTGCTGGTGGCGTGCCCGCTCCTTGCTGGGTATGGCGTGCCAGTTGAACTGTACGTGCCCCAGAGAACACAACCGATTAACCACGCGCTTAATGGTAGTCGAGCCACACTAATACGATTGAAAGCCTACTGCTTATAATTTGCAACTGTTATTTATGTAATTTAATTCTCTATAGACATAGTTGATAACCATTGAGATTTTGGGGTAAATAGCCTGTCTTGGTAATTATATATAATACATGCAAATTTGATAGATTCCGTTAGAACATGTCTATCATAGACATTATTTGACAACACTATATATATTTAATATTTAATGGAAATTCTTTGAAACCAATGAACATTGCAACAAATATGAACAATGATAGCCATTGCTAGCATAGGTTGAAATATTACCGAAGATTTATTAATATCAACACATAATGCCAATATAGATTATTATATCATGTTTGAGAACATTCGAGATAACACTAACTCATGAATATAAAAACTTACATTTATTTATGCATTTAACATTGTTTTTATTGTGGCATGCAGTTGTGATATTAAAAGCCAAGCCAAAGAAGAAAAAACATGCATGATGATGTTTTGAAAGCAAGCATGATGTTACAATGCGCAGGACAACTAAGAGAAAAACAAAATTACAAAGCAAGGACATAAATTAATGTTACTGTTTAATACATATATACACTAAGTACTTAAAACGATACATAAATTATACAAATAAAATTTGTAACCCAAAGTTTGTAAAACAATACACGACAAATAATTGTGTAACGCCTGTTCGTTTAAGTTGTGGTTTATTATACTAACCAAAGAGTCACCAGCATATTTTATTTATATTATATATATATTATATAGTGTGTGTGTGTATATCACGAAAATAAACACGTGATTAAGAATGTGACAATGTCAGACCACGGAGGAAAATGAAACAGGAATTTCCTTAAGTACTTTCGTATATTAAATACATCTTCAGAAGGAATGAAGTTAAATACATCTTCCTTCTGAAGATGTATTTAATATACGAAAGTACTTAAGGAAATTCCTGTTTCATTTTCCTCCGTGGTCTGACATTGTCATATGTCATATGTCATATATTATATATATATATATTTTTTTTTTAATTAACATAACTACAGTACTTAAAAGAACAGAGCTATTAAATTTAACGAAACAAAATCCTGTAAAAATACAACACCAATTGTTATCCTTACAACTACGAACTACCAGCCATCAACTACGGACTACCAGCCATTAACTACAATGACTGTGTAACTAATAAAAAATAAATTGAAATAATAATAATCTGGTGGATTTTATTTTCTTCTGACATTCCAGTCCAAAACCAAGAGCCTGGATTGAGATCAATAACATTCAAAACATTTGTGCCTTAAGATTCGCTTAAAGCCAATCTTAAGAGCATATAGTGAAACTTTGTACAAGATCATCTCAGGCACCAGCTCTGGTTCGTTGGTCATGGGGGTATCTACGGCAGCAGCCATGCGGACATGGTGGGAATATATGGCCTCGCGGCTACCTGTAGATTCCAGTCAAACCCCCCAACAGCTACGAAGGAGGAGTACGTGTACTCAAGAGTATCATCACTGATCACATCTATTACAGGTGTGACTGCCGCCGTCCAGTTACGCCCAATGCGGTCTAACAGCGGCTCCAACCAACCTATGGTAAGAAGGGGAGCCGGATGGTATTTTATGAGTACCATCTTCGCTATATATACAAAAAATAAAACTACTTCACTACATTATCACGAAAACTTTGCCAAATGTAGTTAACAACTAAATAGCCCACCATATACCTAGAGCAAGCACAATTGATGGTACTGCGGAAATGTGTGAAACGCCATCTATTTATGCACCTGTACCATAGTGTGACAGCCTATGAGGAGACACCCTCCTCAGAAAAAAAAGAAATTTACAGTTGTTTTGCCAGTTAGTAAAAACAAAAACAATATTAGTCTTAATCTAAGATAATCATAAGAGAGTACTTTTGCTGCAACATAAATCAATCATGATAACGATCATCAATGTTGCGTAAATGCGAGGCTAAATGCAAATTAAAAAACACACACACACACTGCCCGAATAATTAACACTAAGCCACATACGTCTCTGGTATTTGTTACAAGATCTCAAAACAAAGTGAGAATATGTTGCAGTCAAAGCCTCATTACTATAGAGAGGTTTGATCATTACAAAATCAAACACGGAAAAAGAACACTAAATATTACTCAACAAACCCACATCTATAAAACAAATCACAACATAACAGTGACATCCAAAAAAAATATATATACGAATGCAAAAATACAAAATTTGCACTAAATTCCAATTCCCCATCACAATAAACCGGGAACCAAAATATGTTTGTATTGGCACAAGACGATGCTGACCATTTAGTAACTCAGGGTATTCAGTCCTACCAAGCAGGGTTGGACGGGAGAGTAGTCTATAGCCTAGTACCAGGATAAAAGCAAATTTCCAATATATAACTGAAGTTTGTTATTTATAATTGTTGACAATTTTAATTCACATTTGTTTTGGTGTGTACCTATGAGGAACGCCTTGTATCTAGCATTACCACTAATGTGCCAGGTCCTGAAGCATTTCTAGGTCTGCCAGGTCCTGAAGCATTTCTAGGTCTGCCAGGTCCTGAAGCATTTCTAGGTCTGCCAGGTCCTGAAGCATTTCTAGGTCTGCCAGGTATTGTAGTATTGCTAGGTCTGCCAGGTATTGTAGCATTACTAGGTCTGTCAGGTCCTCTAGCATTACTAGGTCTGTCATATACCTACTTAAAATATCATTAACAAATTCCAAATACAGAAAAGCATACGGTCCCTTTCTCTATAACCTAAAATAGGTTTTTAACAAATATTAACATTTCGAGATGACGATATTTAGTACGTAGCTTCCTGTTAGAGAGATCCTATACAATAACTTACTCTACGCCTGTTGTGGCAGTAACCTCAAACCATCATTTTATTGGTCTTCGTTCAGTAAATGGAAGTGTATCTTGCAATTTGTGTGTGAAATAAAGTAAGCTTTGCAATTTAATATATTAGAGCCGCCTGTAATTGGATATGCTAAGATCATCTACAATTTGACCTAACAGAGGCCAAGGAAGCTACATTCGACAAACCTACTGGACTGATAATTTGGCCAAACTTGTGTTATTAACTCCACATGTCACAGTCCATCCTGCTCGTTAATTATTTAAGCCCTCCTGAACCCGAGTCTTCCTGGTAAACTATGCCAAAACTCTATATTTCAGTCCCCAAGCCAAGGTTATGAATACGATCGTCAACTATGCTAAAGCATTTTAAATATGAAACTCCTTATGGAAGCGTGAAACAGGCTAGTTTTATTTGCCCGTTTGTGAGCTTAGAAATATGGCAAGTAGAAGCTGTGGTAGTGATGATGTGAGGGGAATTAAATGGACAGGTCGAGCAGACAGCGTTGCTCAGGTGCGTACAATGAGTCCCCAATTGAAGCCGCCGACCTGGACATCTCTGGGTTTCGACAGTCTGATCGCGAAGGTGTCGTCTGCAATAACATCGATGACCGGGCAGACCACAGTGGTGGGGTCGCGTGCGATGCTATCCAGGAGGGGCTCCAACCAACCTGTGACATGGAGCCTTCAATCCATGCTGTTCCTAAGATATGAGGCTTTCCCTTTTACACTCACCAAACCTCGGATATGACTTAAATATAATCACAAACTGGTATTCACAAGAAACATGGAATAATAAAGGCATGATAACACAGCAAAGTTGTAATACGCGGAATGTTTTTAAGAACTTGTATAAGGAAAAATTAAAAACACTCCCGGACTTTCCCCACCTCCGCGTTGTTTTCAAGGCAGTTCCATGTGACCCGTCCTCCTCCCCATCCACGCCCTCTACGGCAGCAGCGAATAATGGGTATGCACGCAATCGTACCTAGCAGCCCTGCCTAACACCGTGGCTTCCTCCTCCCAGGATTCGTCTCTTGACAAATTCTACCCTTCCACCTGTCTCTAGTGGCAAGCCGCCGCCTCCCATTTGGGAGCGTCAGTCTGCAGCGCCGCAAGAAACGTTGGGAAACACACAACTCTCCAGGACTGCATTTACAGCTCTCCTTTCACAGCGGACACAGCTCCCACTAGTCCACACACCGTTCTTCCATCCATTTATGAACCTGACTTACACATTCACATCACACTTGATCGCATCGCCCACGCACCGACTTCTTTGCGCTAACTCCTACTTGACACCTGGTGTTTGCAAACTCCAGCCATGTGATCCCACCCCGTGTGCTTAACACCCACTACCTCCTCTATGGGCACCTTCAGCACCTTACTCCAAAACCGCTCGGGTAGCCATCGTCAGAAGAGCCGTCACGCAACCAATACCATATGAAGCAGCAGCGCGCCTCTCCTCCACAAAGTGCCCACTGTGCCTTTATTACTCACTATGGCCAAGTCTCTCCTTAACCGTCTCCTGTGCCACTATTCCTCTTCCAGTTTTAGTCATCACCCCTTACGTGGAATACACAGTTCCTGAATCTGCCACGGTTGGTGCCTTCCCCGCCAAGTCATCAATGAATTACGCTGTTCATCACAGGACGTCGACCAGCCATGGAGTCCGACGCACGTCTTCTCTCGCTAGCTTACGGATTGGTGTTGAAGACATGAGATTTATCAAGGCAAATGGGGGGGGGGGAGGATCTTCAACAAGCCGCCGGCTTCCTGTCCTTGTCGAGGCCATTAGTGTTAGTGGCCCCTCGGGCAAATTCGGGTAAATTTCGGATTGCCACTTGCTAACATTCACAGGTTACCTACCCCTTTACTTCATTTCTATATTGCACAAGTTCTTTACTGCTTATACTATTTTAATTACTATTGTGTTTTAAAGTCTCTTCCTGCTCCTGTTACTTCTTTCTGCTGTACCTCTAGTTATTTTTCCTTTATCCATAGCCAGTGTTCATCCTTCGTCTTACCCATAATCCGTAAGCTATTCCTCGTGGCCTTTTAAACTTCTACTTCTGTTCC